GCAGCTCCTTGGTGGACTTGACCATCCCACACTCAGTGACCCACATTCAGAATAGCGCCTTTGTAAATTGCAGCTCCTTGGTGGACTTGACCATCCCAGACTCTGTGACCCACATTGGGGATGGCGCCTTTGCAAATTGCAGCTCCTTGGTGGACTTGACCATCCCAGACTCTGTGACCCAGATTGGGGGCTTTGCTTTTGAGCATTGTAGCTCTTTGGTGAGCTTGACCATCCCGAACTCAGTGACCCACATCGGGAATCATATGTTTCAGAATTGCAGCTCCTTGTCAAACTTGACAATCCCAGAGTCAGTGATCCACATTGGAAGATTGGCCTTTGCCTGTTGTAGCTCTTTGGTGAACTTGGCTATCCCAAATTCAGTGATCCACATCGGGGTTGGTGCCTTTCAGCACTGCAGCTCTTTGAAGAGCTTAAGCATCACAAGCTCAGTGACTCAACTAGAGGACGGCGTTTTCGCCGATTGCAGCTCTCTGACGGAGTTCACTATCCCAGACTCCGTGACGCAGATTGGGAATGGTGCCTTTGCGAATTGCAGCTCCTTGGTGAACGTGACCGTGCCAGACTCTGTGACGCATATTGGCAGAGGTGCCTTTCGGAAGTGCCGTTCTTTGCTAGTGCTGGTGTCCATGGATCACATCCGGTCGGGTGGCGATGCCTTTCAGGGATGCAAAGGAGTTGTGGCCAAAGAGTGTGTCTCTTGAACTTGAAATGCATGGGAGGCCTTCCCCTTCCGCACAACCCACCTGAAGAGGTTCTTCCCAAAAGGTTCGACTTTTTATAGCTCTGGGGTTTGGACCGAACCAATGTGTAGCAGTTTGAAGGTCCCATGTAGCCTCTGGCTTGGACCAATGAAGTCAGGCACAGCTGGTCTGAAAACAAAGGGCTGCACGGGGGACGGAGAACGGCACGACACCAATGGGGCTGCTATGATGGGCCATGATGGTTCGCACTGTCCTCCTGGAAAAAGGCCTCCCTGGGTTTGCAAGGAACGCAGAACCAGAAAAAAACCCATCGGTTGGGGACCTCCCTATTGTATTAAAATACATGCCGTACATATCCATATATTATATTGGGTTTGTCCTATTACCTGTAACAGTCAGTAAACAATTATCACTATTCTTGAACAAGGCCTTAACTAACCATCATCATCCACTGTTACAGGTCATAGGACAGGCCCAATCCATATACAGTAAGAGGTCTCAAATTGGTGACCTGTGAAGTTGGATGCGTATGAGGCACAGATGAGGCCAGGGAGCCATACCTGTCCAGGGCCACTTCCAGGCTTTGGAGCCACCGATGGAAGTCGAGTGAGGCACCTGTCCACGCATACGCATGACGCACGCACGTGAGCCGGGATGGCGGATCTTGCAAAGACTGGAGCCAGTGGCTCAGGTGTAGCCCAGTGGCTCAGGTGTAGCCCACTCCTTCGATCACCCGTGGCAGGGCCGTGCCCCGATCACCAACGCCCGCACCAACTTCCGCCGCCCCCCCCGGATTCAGGACGGAGCTTTTGGAACGCTTTTAACAGTAGTCGTTCGATGTTCTCCCTAGACTTCCAAGACCATTCACAAATGGTTGAACTGGTTTTTGTAGTGTAAAATCCTTAGTTGGTTCAGGATTCAGCCTATTAATGTCATAGTGGTTGGAAGTCCAGGGTTCTGTTCTCTCCTCTTTGCATCCTCTCGGCCGATGGGGTGCGATGCACACGCCACGCGCCGCGTCGGCCCGGTCGAGGTTCGATCTCTACTTCCAGGCGACGGAGTGCGGATGCCACAGAGGAGGGAGGATGGCCAGGTCGGTTTTGATCGGTAGAGGTAGAGGGTGGAGGATTGATCAAGGGACAGATGATTGGATGATTGGGCACTGTCCACGATTCCCAAAGAAAGGTTTTATTCGGGGTATGGTGAGGTTTAGGCTGACAGGCACCAGTTTGACATTGGTATTGCGCTATCTATATATAAACATCCCTGTCAGGATGTTTGGCATGTTATATAAAAGTGAGCCGTGGGTTGGTCGAAGATATGCCACAGAAGATGGACAAACAAAGCTAACGAATCAACCTTCAGGTGACAGCAATTCCAAAAAACCAAGCTCCGCGCTTCCGATCCTCTTCAAGATCTTCAAGAACACCAAGGGCGTTCTTTCCCCCTTCTTCCTTGGTCAAAGACCGCGCCCAACACAAACTGATCACCTTCAGAACTCAGTGGTCCACGGCACCGGCAAGACGGAATCTGTCTCCAGCCACCACCCTCAACAGGGATCTGGATCAGCATGGACTCATTGGATCAGAACAGATCCTAAGCCACCCCGTTCTTCCGATTCTTCCTGTAAGTCTCAACAGGGATCTCATTGGATCAGCATGGCTGAAGGATCCAGGATTCGTGGCCCACCATTGGTGCACTGAACGTAGCCATGACACAATTAAATCGAATACCTTGGGAACAATCTTCTACCAAAAGCACATGGCTTTATTTTGAAATCGACGTCTGTGCTGGCATTGTACGAACATCGGTTCCAAAGAATTCATTATATAGCATTATAACCGTTATTATAACTTATAACATAATTTGGCAAGATGCTGAAGAAGGTTTGTTAAAATAGATTCAGCTTTGATGCAATGGTTTTGAACCTTAGAACTCATTGACTTTATTTTCATTATCTTCGATGTGCCTTCAATCTCCATGATGTATATACTGTGCTTCCTTCTTTTTTGGTGTGTCTGTGGTTTGGAGAGGCCTTCGTTAAAAGGAGGGTTCACTGGAATTAAAGTAGCCAACCCAAAGCAAAGCCACTAAAGGCCCATACCACCTTTTACATCATTTGAGCAGATTTCATTCTAAAAACTTCATGGCTGGGCTACATGGCCCTTGGGGGGGGGCTGCTTTGGTGCCATGCAGTAATTAGACAAAGTGGGGCCAACGTCCAACATAAGCATATAACAAGCATTTGCTTGAGGTTGAGCATTTTGCTTCCTTACGTAGCCTCCTTTTTTCAACGTTTGACAATAATCCATTCTAAGTACGTTGGGTACCCCCTGAATTATTTTGTTTTGGAGGGTGCGCCCCGGCCCCTCGCGGCACCCAACGGCTATACTGAACTGGGCTGTACCGAAGAACCCATGTGACTGTGATTTTGCTCAGATTTTGGAGCCAGACCAGGTCAACCGAACTGGTTTGGAATGGTTTTTGAAGGCCAGGAACCTGAAGAGAACCGGTCAACCGTGTGGCGTCACGGCGCTCAGCCCTACGGGGGCACTGGGTGAAGGTGTCCGACGGTGTGGAGCCACCCAGCCAGAAACACCTCAGGTACAGGCTGCTAGTGGCGGAGCAGGGCAGCATGTGGGATGCCCCAGTGCTTCGGTGGAGGCGACCCAAGGCTCAGCTGCTTGGTGTGAGCCACGTGCGGCGTGGCTGAACTGCACCCCGCACGAGGTAGGTAGGTAGGTAGGTAGGTAGGGATCTTCTGAATCTATCAGGACCGGACTGGAAGGGGTGTCTATTAATAACCCCTTAGCTGTTAAGGGGTGTCCATCAACCACCCCTTGGGGGTGCTGGTAGCTGGGCACCCAGTACATTGGCCCCCAAACCACCCCAATGTAGGCATATATGGCATACATGGAGCGTCTGGGGTATGCTGCCAGTATATCAAGATCTCCTATCCGTTGATGTCCGGTGGCAGGCTGTAGCTCACATCGTGCGCACCCAATTCCTGGAGATTTTGGGGCGAATAGAAGATTTTGGGCCCGGAACATGTACTACCCCACCTGGAGAGAAAGGCATTCTTGAAATGGAAAATTACTACCTGCTGGTTAGGTTCTGGCGCCATGCGCCATTTCTATCAGGTGCTTTTGTTGCTGCTCCGATGTCCCTCGCCTTCAAGGGCCCTTTAAACAGTCGTTGACCGGGCTTTTAGCGCAAAATCCTCATAATGGCTGCTCGGTAAAAAGCATCAATCAATGGCGGTTGGAATCGCAGGGACGTCTCTTGATCGTCCACCTTTTGATCGCCTGGAGCCTGTTTCAGCTTTCCACCCCCGTTCCCACCCAGGCTCCACGTGCGCGTGAACAACGCGCGGAACCTGCCGAACACCGACACGGGCGTCGGGAGACCCGTACCACACGCGTTCCGGCGGAAGTCGATGGACTTTGCGGGCCAAGCGATTGGCACAGCCAGTGAGCTGAAGGAGGGTGAAGGCTCATGCGGATTTGCTGAGGTGAAGATCTGCCCGGGTGTCATCTAAGTTCTAGATTCTAGATCCTTTGCTCAGGTCTTGGGAGATGTGCCAGGGGCCCCCAGCCGGAGTGGTTGACAGTTCAAGGGTTGGGTATGTTGGGTTCGGGTTGGTAGCATCTGGACACGGGTGAAACCATGGTGAAACCATGCTTGGGACGTCCAGATTCCGGGAGTCGGTTGGGAGTCTAACCTTTCTTTGCCATATCTAGTCGTCCTCCCTTTGATCAAGCTCTTGACCGACTGGTGGCTCTGCGTTCATTTTGTACCATTGACAGCTTGGAGATGCTTTTAGCCAGCATGTCATGACTGACTTGGATTTGGGGCATGCAGAAATGCTGGTTCTCAACCACACCTCAGTCACTGTGACCACCAATCTTCGCCGCCCGCAGCAATTTTGAAACACGCGCCAAGTGAACGCCGTGTTTTAGGACAGAGACTTTCCCCGGCTTCACCCGAAGCCGAATTTGCAATGGTGTCCTTTTCGAAGCCACAGGCAGGGCGAGCGGAGCGTCGGCGACGCATGCAACGCATGGGTGCCTTGGCTGAGGAGAGAGAGGACTGCACGGTGACACCTGAAGACCATTAGATAGGATGTCTTCATCCACGTGCGAGGGGGGTCAATTTCAATCAGGGATGTTTCTCATGTTTGAAGTGCTGATGCATAATCACAATTGTGGAAGCTGCAGAGGACGAGGAATTCAGGAATGCAGAGGTCACTCATACTCCCAAGACTGTTTTGGTATGCATGTGAGGGTATGGTATGCATCATGACATCCCTCAGGTCACCCTGAGGGGTGGGGATCCACGGCATTTTTGTGTTGAGTATTGGATTACCTAGCACCGATCCTCATAGATCATATATGATCATGCAAGGCCGGCCCCCTCCCAAGACTGCCGCCCCGAGTCACTCGCACCTTCACTATACTCTCCAACCCCTCACCGGGTCCGTTCGGCATACTCTCCAACCCCTCACCGGGTCCGTTCGGCGACGGTCCCGGGAAGTCGCGAGCGATGTCACCCAGGTCTGGCGGCTGTCGCAACGTCCGCCCTGGCGCCTGTCTGTTTGGACCGCCCCTTTGTCATTGGCACTGGACAGGTGGCGCGCGCGAAGCCTTATGAGGCGCCCACCGCGTCGGTGCTGACTGAGACGGTGCAAGAAGAACGCAGCGGAGCGAGGACGGACGCGGTGGGCGACGGACGGAGCACAGTGGCACAACTCGGGTGACGTAAAAACCTCCCCAAAACGTGGATGGTAGGAAGACCTTTTCATGGGGCAATATTCCATCAAGCGTCTTATACATTACTTATGGTTTTTGAAGGATCTCTGATAAAACGAGGGTTGGAAGAGCTGACGCTGATGCTTTTCCAGTGGTCAGTGGTTGTTTGAAGGTCGGGTTTGAGTTTGTGCACCCCCAAATGGATCATCACCCCTACCTTGGCAATGCTGTGCATCTAGGCTGTGACATTGCTGTCCGTCCTGAATTAGGTCTGAATCTTGGAGATTCCTGATTCTATTCATGTCAAATGTCATTTCCCGGGTCAAACTTGCTTTGCTCACCCTGCAGCTTTTGCTACTATAAGTGGAGTTTTCCTCTTTTTCCTCTGGTGCAAACTCACTTGAGAACGTTAAACCGCCCTCTTCCAAAGCGAAAAAGATCAGGAGTTGTGGTTAGTCAAGCGGTTTACCATGGTCGCCACCAGTCACAGGAACATCAGAACACTGGCACCAGGTGTGGAGAAAGAATCACTGGCTTCCAGTAGCGTATCTCACAGCACTCCGATGAGTTGACCAATATGATTGTTTGTTACAAGCAGCCTTCGTCCAACTCGCTGGCTGCGAGCACGCTGCACAGAGCGAAGTGCTGCACGCGCAAGTGCAGAGCACGCTGGCTGCGCTTCTAGAGGTCTAAGTATCTTATCGGATCAACATATCGCAAGCTAGGGGAGGCACCCGGGAAAAGGGTCAGAAAGGCGGTGTCCTGACCCCGGAAAGCCTAGGCCTAGGACCCCCCCCTTGTTTCCGACGGAGGGATGGAACGGGCCAGACCTCTTCGTGCTGTGACTCGCCATGGCAAGCAAAATCTCGGTGCTCCAGCCAAGTGGTGAACTCCTTGTTCTGGAAGTGACCCAGGAGACAACAGGCCGACAGCTGCAGCAACAGATCAAGGAGAGCCAACACTGGGATGAGCTTACTCGCAGGACGACGGGTGTGGAGATCCTCCTGGGCACTAAGTTGCTGGCCCGTGAAGAGAAAGTGTTGGATGCAGGAATTGCTGAAGATGCTCTTGCGAGTGTAGTCTTCAAACCAAATGTGGTGATATGCGGCAACCAAGATGAGCTCCACAGCTTTGGCGATGTCACTGACATGGAGCTGCTACTAGTGGTCGAAATCCCTAGTGATCAAACTCAAATTCTGGAAAGGGCCTTTGCGAATTGCCACTCCTTGGGCAGGTTGACCATCCCGCACTCAGTGACCTACATTGGAGAATGTGCCTTTTCAAATTGCACCTCTTTGGCGCGCTTGACCATTCCGGACTCAGTGACTCAGATTGGGGAGGGTGCCTTTGCAGGTTGCCACGCGCTGACCAATTTGACCATCCCAGTGTCCTACATTGGAAATGAGGCCTTTCAGAGTTGCAGCTCTTTGGCGAACTTGACCATCCTGGACTCAGT